TGCGATTTTTTTCTGTTCGATCGAGTCAAAAAACCACTATGGGGAACGCGTTTTAAGCCGAAAGGAGGTAATGGAAAAATCGAAAACCGTGCAGAGGTAGATGTATTCAAGACGGCGTAACTTTTACAAATGTCAAGCTATGGCGATAAAATTTGTTGGAAATGTCAATGATAGATGTGGCAACCTAACCAAAAAAACAGAACTCAAATCAGCTGACTCAGAGCATCACCTGGTGATAATTCCGGGAATTTTTTGATCATTGAATTATTAGAGAAAATAATTTAGTTAACGAAAAACTATTCCAGGAAACATCAATTAACAGTAACATAATTATTAGTTACAATTTCCTATACCACAATATAACTGTTATCTACAAAATGTGTTAAATTACAGATATATTGTGGAGTCGGAAATTATAACTAACAGTTATGTATGTTACTGTTAGTTATTGGTGTTTGCTAGGATTTATTTTTTATTAATATTTTGTATATTTTTAAAGATTGTTTTTATTTATAAACTTTTTAATGAAGATTTTGTTCGAAATGTGCACCTCTTGCAGCAATACAAGCATTGCATCTGTCAAACACGGCTCTTGTAGCAGCCAGGCCTTTAAAGCATTACCGTTGCAGAAACCGTATACAAAAACCATATCAGCATATTCACTATTAGAATACGTACGCGGCATATTGCAAAAGACAAAATTCATCTACTATTAAAGGCTTTCAAAGAGCGACTGACAAATTCATAACAGAAAGTGGAAAATGTAATCAAATATGTCGGTGCTAGATATGGCAAGAAATATAAACATTTTTTTTCGATTTCTCTGAAACGGAGCAAAAACGAGCATATGTCTATAGGACTTTTTTTCTTAGTTTTTTACTCCTCTACACGCTCCCGAAGTTTTGCGATTTAATTTGGAAACACCCTGTATACATTGCATTAATACTAATTTTTTTTTATACTAACTGCAATTATTTTAATGATTAGCCGATGTGAACTTTATTTTTCATTATTTATTAAATAAATTATAGAGATGATTACTGATTTATTAATGTTGTTTTTAAATAACACTTTAATATTTATAATATAAATAATTGTATTAGTCTTGGAATACAAAAATGTGGCATAAAGTTGTAATTATTAATTAATTTGCAAATATTTTCTCGATAAAATAAAGCAGTGCTGTTGTTGACTTTATATGTATATTAAACTTAATATATATATATATGTATCAGAGCCTATTACCTTTTTTTTTTTAAAGAAAAGCAATAGGCATGAATGCTGATACACGTCTAGCCATTACAAAATTTGGACAGCACTGTGGAATTATTCTTCAAATGGATTTTGATCGGAATTATTTCGTTTTCCGTACAAAATATGATATAAATCTAGGGAATAATTGTGTGTGTGAATAATTACAATTAGAATTCATTCCGAATAATTTCATAATACGTGCCCTGATAAACTATAGATTTTATTTTGAATGAATATTAGGTAATATACAACGATAATCCATCTTTCAAAGTTAGCTCGAGCTTGACGAAACAGAAAATATTCAACGTAAGATTATTTCGCAATTGTTCGAAGCGAGAACAAATCATTTGACGGTTGGTGTACGACTTTGACATTTGTTTTTGTGACGTAGTCACAACGAGCGGGTGGAGAAGGCTATTGTTTATATTAGCTATCATTCGCGTACCAACACTCGAGCGGGTCGACGCGTGCCGCTTCGTGCATCGTAGCTTTGTCATTTTATTTTACAAAACGCGATTATTCCTTCCGAACAATTTGCGAGTATGAATCCGCGCGATAGATTAACTGTTACAATTAACGATCTGCAAGCGACGGCTGCTTATCGAAGTGATTATTTCGCAAGCTTTAATCGTCCGTAATGTGGAAATCGAAACGATAGGGAATGAAAGTTGTATATCGTTCCATTGGCATTTTTATTACCGACTTTTAATTACTTCTTTAAGATTTTTTGCGGAATATACAGCGAGTGCAAAAAGTATTTGTACAGATATCTTTTTAAAAAACTATTTAAGGTGGTTAGACCCCAACTATGCGAGTCAACGACAGACTCAAACATAACTCTAAATTTTAAACAATATATATTGTTAAGTAAAATCTAAGAATAAAAAAACAATGTATTTTATACACTTACAATATTAAATCATGATGAAATAAGTTAATTTAAGAAAAGAAGGAAAATCTACGTATCACGTAGTATATAAGAGAAATTAGATCGTGGCAACGTCGCATTTTTACGAATAGACAAATACAGTGACAGGCGCAAGCACCGAAGCACCGCTGTCAAAATATTTATATAAAAGACAAAAATGTCCGCACAATCACGATATAAAAGAAAATATATTAGGTGCGCAACTAAGTTCCCGCTATTTGTCAATAGATGGTTCCAGCAGTAAGTGCTGGTCGATTCTGACATAATCTAAACGTCATGAACCAAGCTTAGACATATGGTAAACAAACCGCTTCGACACATTAGTGATTTTGTTTTGACGTTATATTCTTTTGGTTGTGTGAAAATGTCTGATTTTGTGCCAAATAATCGTCATATGCGGGAAGTATTGATTTTCTTCTTTCATTCGAAGAAAACGGCGGCTGAAGCGCATCGAGAGCTCCAAAAAGTTTACGGAGATGCTGCTCTAAGTGAAACAACGTGCCGAGATTGATTCCGTCGCTTCAAAGACGGTGATTTCGATGTTGACGACCGTCCGCGTGAAGGAAGGCCAAAAACCTTCGAAGACGCTGAATTGGAGGCATTGCTCGATGAGGATCCGTGCCAAACGCAAGAAGAGCTTGTTTCAGTATTAGGAGTTACCCGCCAAGC